TGCATCTAATGCAGGCATCCTCAGAGGTTGTGAGGTCAGTTGGAAACGAGGAAAATGGGGTTTATATATCTGTGGAATAATGTCCAGGGTGGGAGAAAGAACTCTTGTCTGTTGGAGGTAGGTGTGAATATTGCAGTTGGCCACCTTGATTAGCTTTTAATGGCCTAGCAGTTTCAAGGTCTGGCTTCCTATGGTCTCGGGGAATCCTTTGTTGGGAGGTGATTAGCTAGCCCTAATTCTTTCTTGTCTGGAATTCCCCTGTGTTTTTTTAGTGTTGTTCTTTATTTACTGTTATGTATAATATCACCTCCCAACAAAGGATTCCCCCAAGCAGTAAGAAGTCCGACCTTGAAACTGCTAGGCCTTTAAATGCGAATCAAGGTGGCCAATAGCTACATTCACACCTGGCTCCAATAGACAAGAGTTCTTTCCCCTACCCTGGACATTCCACAGATATATAAACTTCACTTGCCTAGTTTCCAACAGATCTCACAACTTCCGAGGATGCCTGAAACATCAGGTGAGATGTCAGGAGAGAATGCTTCTGGAATATGGTCAGACAGTCTGGAAAACTCACAACAACCCAGTGATTCCAGCCATGAAATCCTTCAACAATACATTGTATTTATTTAACTACACCATTCCTTCCTACCACCCCTCCCACTGTAGTATAGAAAAGTCATTATTATAATAATTATTACTATTATTATTATTATTACTATGATTAGTGGTATTATTATGTTGTGGTTGTGGTTGTTGTTATTTTGCATCCTGTATGTATCTGCAATGCAACTATTCCATAATTAATAGCAGCTGTTCTAAACATTGTTCGTGGTTTGTTTACAACTAATAAAGCATCATCTGCAAACTAATTTATTAGTTTAGGCTCCACCTCGTCCAAAGCCGGGATTCAAACATTTTAGAAGGTAAAAAGCAATGCAAATAAAAGCACAGGATGACAAATAACATTATACAAAAATGTGGCTTTAATTTAATACTTTAATTTAATTTTTTTGTCAGAAATCTTGACCGGTGTACAATAAAACAAAACAAAACAGATTGAGGGCAACTTGCTATCACTCAAACTGATTTATCAAATGTCACCCTGAGGTTGAGTTTTCAATTCTCCTCATCCTTCCTTTTGGCTTGCTTGTCTGCTACTCACCACTTCGAACCACTTGACCAAAGTGCTGAAATTGGGATTTTTCTTGTAGTTCTGGATGAGGGAGGACTGGACCCCGCGTCCGGCGCATTCAATGTCCACCCGAGGTCGATCCACTTGGGCCAAGTTCACCCGCTTGAGGTCCCTCAATCCCCAGAACAAGATCTAGAAGGAAAGATGGCAAGATTATAGAAATCCACAGCTGGAAGGGACCTCTGAAGGCCATCTAGTCCAACCCTGTTGTGCTACACAAATGGACATCCAGCCTCTGTTTCAGGCCACTCCAGCACAATACTATGCGATAGGAGTCCCCAGAGAAGGAGAGTCCATCCTAGGCAGTCTCTATCCCCCTAGAGTAGGACGGGAACCCCAAAGGCCATCTAGTCCAAACCTGTTGTGCTACACAAACAGACATCCCGCCTCTGTTTCAAGCTACCCCAGCACAATACTATGCGATAGGAGTCTCCAGAGAAGAAGAGTCTATCCTAGGCAGTCTCTATCTCCCTAGAGTAGAATGAGAACCCCAAAGGCCATCTAGTCCAAACTTGTTGTGCTACACAAATGGACATCCAGACTCTGTTTCACACCACTCCATCACAATACTATGTAATAGGAGTCTCCAGAGAAAAAGAGTCCATCCTAGGAAGTCTATATCCCACTAGAGTTGGAAGGGGACCCCAAAGGCCATCTAGTCCAACCCTGTTGTGCTACACAAATGGACATCCAGCCTCTGTTTCAAGCTACCCCAGCACAATATTATACGATAGGAGTCTCTAGAGAAAGAGAGTCCATCCTAGGCAGTCTATGTCATACTGGAGTTGGAAGGGAACCCTAAAAGCCATCCAGTCCAACCTCTTTCTGCTTGGCAGGAAGGCCAACCCATCATTCTGACTTTTCTCTTCCAAAATGACTAGACTTTTTCATATTCACTTCAATGTTTTTTTTCGGATTTGGGGATATTTACATACGCTGCATATATAACACAGTGTCTTGGAGATGGGATCAAAGCTCAGGCATGAAATCCATTTAGCTTATGCACATAGACTGGAGTGATTTCACACAACAATCTGAAGAACAAGGGTGCATTGACACGTGTGGAATGACTAAAGTTTGGCACCCCTTTAATCTACCATGGCTAAAAACTCTAGGAAAACCTCCAGAGAAGGAGACTCTACCAAAATCCCAGGCAGTCTATATTCCACTAAAATGGGAAAGGATTCTGAAGGCCATCCAGTCTTACTACCTCTGAGGATGCTTGCCATAGATGCAGGCGAAACGTCAGGAGAGAATGCCTCTAGAACATAGCCATATAGCCCAAAAAAACCTACAACAACCAATTTTTTTGCCTTCTTTGAGTGCTTCTATATTGCAAAATGAATTCTGTTTGTGTTCATGTGAATTGTCACAGCTCAGTACTATGGGTCCTGGGAGTTGTAGTTTGACAAGATCCTGTTGGGCAGGAAAGGCTCAAAACCTTGCCAAACTACAACTCCCAGGGCTCCATAGCCTTGTGCTACAGCAGTGAAAGTGGTGTCAAACTACATTAATTCTATTATGTGTACACACTTTAAGAGTCTGGAGACTGGGGTTCAATTCCCTACTCAGAAGTGCACTCACTGCTTGTCGTCAGGCGAGTCACACTCTCTCAGCCCCAACAATGGACTTTGGTGCTTTGTCTCCCAAGAGGCCTTTGTAATCCCAGCAAAGGAACACAGATTACCTCGACTCTGTATTTGCTCAACACGGGTCGGATCCCAAGCGGAACCGGCAAAATGGGGCCCCGATCCAGGTCCGTGGGTCCGTCAATGGGAGGCAAGTCTGACTTCCCAGCTGGGCCAATCTGGATGAGAGCAAAGAAATAATACTTCATTTTCCATAATATTGTCGCCCAGCTCCATCCATCGAGAGAGGGTGAAGTTTTCCATTCATGCATCATCCAATTGGTGTACAGGTTTTCACTGGGGAGTCTAAAATTTACAATTATTATTATTGGATAAAGTATGCTTGGCATGTATTTCCCCCCTCCCCCCCCCAATTTTTTCTCCCATTTGCATATTTTGGAAAGAGTCAATTTGCAAGGATTATTGCAAAGGAAGGTTGGAAGTCATGGGACATTTGTTGCAATAGGATTTCCCATTATTCCTGTTTTCCTTTTAGTTCTGCAGTTCTTTTAAGAAAAAAAATTCCTTGCATTTTGCAAATAATAACAAGAAGCCTGGCCATGTTTCTGTAGACCACCCAGAGAAGATCTGTGCTAGCAAAAAGAGACCATTTCGACATGCTGGCATTTTTCTTTTCCAAGGAATATACCATGCATAGAACAATGCTCAGAAAAGTAGGGAGAGGGGGAAAAAAAAAGGTAAGATTGCATTACAAGTGGATGGACTCCATTCAAGGAGTGGAATGGATTTTGCCCTGATTTTGCAAGACCTGAATGGTTGGAGGACTCTCCTTCTAAGTCATAGGGATAAAGCAGATCTAAAGAACTTTTCCAGGAGTTACGTAGCACAGGGCAAACTTTGAAGCTGATCTCCATGCAAGGATCCTTTTTATAGGGAAATGTGATTGGGAACATGGAGAGATGCGCCAAACCTGGCAAGGTCCACTTCATGCAGAAATCAGGAAAGAGGGGGAAAGTGACGGATGGAAGGCTATCGGTGGGAGATGTAGTTCTCAATCTCATTCCTGGGGTGCACCTGACACCACTTGAGCTGCCAAGGCTCAACATGACAGAATCCTGGGAGATATAGTTTGGAGAGGCACCAGTTCTCTTTGGCCAAGAAGCCAAACAACTTTGCAAAACTATACCTCCCAGGATTCAAGGGCATTGAACCACAGCAGTCAAACTGGTGCTGAATTGCACAACTTGGCAGTCGTAAAGGGCCAACATTAAACAAGTAAACGTCTTCGAATCTCAGATAGATTTTTAGCACCTCACTTTGGCTTTGTGAGAGGGTGCCTTTGCCTAGGTTGTAGACACATAGAATCATAGAATCATAAAATCAAAGAGTTGGAAGAGACCTCATGGGCCATCCAGTCCAACCCCCTGCCAAGAAGCAGGAATATTGCATTCAAATCACCCCTGACAGATGGCCATCCAGCCTCTGCTTAAAAGCTTCCAAAGAAGGAGCCTCCACCACACTCCGGGGCAGAGAGTTCCACTGCTGAACGGCTCTCACAGTCAGGAAGTTCTTCCTAATGTTCAGATGGAATCTCCTCTCTTGTAGTTTGAAGCCATTGTTCCGCGTCCTAGTCTCCAAGGAAGCAGAAAACAAGCTTGCTTCCCCCCTCCCTGTGGCTTCCTCTCACATATTTATATATGGCTATCATATCTCCTCTTCCCTTCTCTCTCTTCTCTCCTCCCTCTTTCCTCCCTTTTCTTTCCTTAAGCTTGCTCCCTCCTCCCTGTGGCTTCCTCTCACATATTTATACATGGCTATCTCCTCTCAGCCTTCTCTTCTTCAGGCTAAACATGCCCAGTTCCCTAAGCCGCTCCTCATAGGGCTTGTTCTCCAGACCCTTGATCATTTTAGTCGCCCTCCTCTGGACACATTCCAGCTTGTCAATATCTCTCTTGAATTGTGGTGCCCAGAATTGGACACAATATTCCAGATGTGGTCTAACCAGAGCAGAATAGAGGGGTAGCATTACTTCCTTAGATCTAGACACTATGCTCCTATTGATGCAGGCCAAAATCCCATTGGCTTTTTTTGCCGCCACATCACATTGTTGGCTCATGTTTAACTTGTTGTCCACGAAGGACTCCAAGATCTTTTTCACACATACTGCTCTCAAGCCAGGCGTCCCCCATTCTGTGTCTTTGCATTTCATTTTTTTCTGCCTAAGTGGAGTATCTTGCATTTGTCACTGTTGAACTTCATTTTGTTAGTTTTGGCCCATCTCTCTAATCTGTCAAGATCGTTTTGAATTCTGCTCCTGTCCTCTGGACTATTGGCTATCCCTCCCAATTTGATGTCGTCTGCAAACTTGATGATCATGCCTTCTAGCCCTTCATCTAAGTCATTAATAAAGATGTTGAACAGGACCGGGCCCAGGACGGAACCCTGAGGCACTCCACTTGTCACTTCTTTCCAAGATGAAGAGGAAGCATTAGTGAGCACTCTCTGTGTTCGTCCACTTAACCAATTACAGATCCACCTCACCGTAGTTTTGCCTAGGTTTGAGTCATTGAAATCTGAGATATTTACTTAACAATACTTGCTATCGATAACTTCTGTGATATTTACTAATGATAACGGCTTAACCAATGTACTTAGCAATAATTGCATAATGCAGTGATTCTCAACCTGGGGTCCCCAGATGTTTTTGGCCTTCAGCTCCCAGAAATCCTGACAGCTGGTAAACTGGCTGGGATTTCTGGGAGTTGTAGGCCAAAAACATCTGGGGACCCCAGGTTGAGAACCACTGGCATAATGTGTATCGATCACTGGTTTGATTTGCAACAACACTGCATATTGATAATTGCCTAATAGCATAACAATAATGCAGATTGATATGGATCACTGCTTCGAGCCTCACCAAAAGTTGGTTGTAGCAGCCTCCAAATGAAGCAGCATGACCCAGAATGAAACTTCAAAAGAACAGGTTTAACAAGTTGCTTGCTAAGGGCCATATAACCCAGACCATCAAGGCAGATAATCTACAATATCTGCTTTGAACTGGATTATCCGAGTCCACACTGCCATATAATCCAGTTCAATGTGAATTTTATACAGCTGTGTGTAAGGGGCCTAAGACTTCAAAGCTGAAGCACAAGTAGGGAGGGAAAACTGGTTGATACCACAAGGCCACAAATCTTTTCATAGATGACGGGAATAAATGCGAAGGTGGTGGGACCGAAAGCAGGGCCCCTCCAGAAGATCTTAACAACCTTGATGGTTCGTAGGGGAGAATCCGTTCGGATAGGTAAACTGGGCCGGAGCCATTTAGGGATTTATAGGTCAACACCAGCACTTTGAATTGTGCTCGGAAGCTATTTGGCAACCAGTGGAGCTGACGCAACAGAGGAGTAGTATGTTCCTCTTAAAGCAGTAAGGGTAGTAGGCAGCCCTTGGTGGGTTGGGTTGACCATCTCCAAGGCGTTCAATGAACAGTGCCGAGTTGGTGGTTTTGCCACTGGAATGAGAAGGAGACAACAAAGGCAAAGAGAAAGAAATAGTAGGCCTCCTTCTTTATCTTCTTCTTCTATGGAGCTTGAATTGTGCTCCATGGGCTGCCAAGTCTGCTCGAACACATGGGGCGCATTTGCTGCCCCACTGACTTTGGAGCTAAGGGATAAGAAGAGGGTTTTAAGGTGTGATGAGTCGGAGCATTTCAAGGGTCATTTGGGTGCAGTCTGAGCAGGGTCCATGCCAATCTGGGGAGCACCTTGATTTGGGGGACGCAAGAGGGGTCAGTGGCCGCCCGCAAGGCCCGCCTGATCTCTTCGTCGTCGTACGGAAGCTGGGAGGAGACCAAAGCACGGTAGAGAGGGAGAAGGAGACAAACAAAGCAGATCCAGAGATGTCACAGAGCAAAAGAGGAGGAGACCCCCCAAGTCCCAAACAGAGAAGCAGAGGATAAGACAGAATCAAAATATGACAAAGGAAGACCGCTGAGGAAGCATCAACACAACCTTGGAGGTGGGTGGGAGCCTTAAAGCAGTAAGAGTTGTAGGCAGCCCTTGGTGGGTTGGGTTGACCATCTCCAAGGCGTTCAAGGGAGTCACACTCAATGCTTTATCTTCACAACAGAACTGCGAGACAGGCCACCGGGAGGACCCAGGGCATGGACCAAAGGCAATTCAACCAGGCTTTGGGGCTGAGCCAGATGGAGCCTGGGAAAAGCAGGTCAAGTTCTTGTCTGGCTATCTATCTATCTATCTATCTTATCTATCTATCTATCTATCTATCTATTTATCTATCTATCTATCTTCTATTTCTTATTTCTATCACTTATCTAATACGTCTCTCTCTCCCCTCTCTTCTCTTTCTGTCTCATCTCTTTCTAATGTCTCATGTCTGCCTATCTTAACCTCTATCTATCTATCTATCTATCTATCTATCTATCTATCTATCTATCTATCTATTTATCTATCTATCTTCTATTTCTTATTTCTATCACTTATCTAATACGTCTCTCTCCCCCCTCTCTTCTCTTTCTGTCTCATCTCTTTCTAATGTCTCATGTCTGTCTATCTTATCCTCTATCTATCTATCTATCTATCTATCTATCTACCTATCTCTCTCTCTCTCTTCTGTTTCTTATTTCTATCTCTTATCTACCTAATACTTCTCTTGCTCGTCTCTCTCTCTCTTCTCTCTTCTATTTTTGTCTCTCATATCTCTTCCTCTCTCTTTCTCATGTCTGTCTGCCTATCTTATTATCTATCTCTCTATCTCTCTATCTCTCTTCTGTTTCTTATTTCTATCTCTTATCTACCTAATACTTTTCTCACTCATCTCTCTCTCTCTCTCTCTCTTCTCTTATCTTCTATTTCTGTCTCTCATATCTCTTCCTCTCTCTAATTTCTCATATGTCTGTTTGCCTATCTTATCATCTATCTATCTATCTATCTATCTATCTATCTATCTATCTATCTATCTGGTGATCATGACGGATTTATTGGATGAAACTCCAATACATAACTATACAAGATGATTGATTGATAGATAGACAGGACAGACAGATATGAGACATTAGAGAGAGAGAGAGAGAGAGAGAGAGAGAGAGAAGAGATAGAAGAAAGGGGGAGAGATGTGAGATAGATAGATGAGATATATGATAGATAGATAGATAGATAGATCTATATGAGATAGATATAGATATAGATGAGATAGATGAGAGATAGATGAGATATATGATAGATAGATGAGATATAATATAGATAGATGATAGATAAATGAGATAGATATAGATGAGATAAACAGATGAGATAGATAGATGATAGTTAGATGATTGATAGGTAGGTAGGTAGGTAGGTAGATAATAAATAGCGATAGATTATAGATAGATAGATAGACAGACATATAGATAGATAGATGAGATAGCTATAGCTATAGATGGGATAGACAGATGAGATAGATAGATAGATGAGATAGATATAGATATAGATATAGATATAGATATAGATGAGATAGATTGATGAGATATATGATGGATAGATAGATAGATAGATAGATAGATAGATAATAGATAGAGATAGATGAGATAGAGATAGAGATAGATACAGATGAGATAGATGAGATAGATAGATAGATAGATAGATAGATAGATAGATATGATAGATAGTTTAGAAAGAAGGGAGGGAGGTAGGTAAGTAGATAGATAGATAGATAGATAGGAATAGAGATAGATGATAGATAGATAGATAGATGAGATAGATATAGATGAGATAGACAGATGAGATATATGCTAGGCAGATAGATAATAGGTAGAGATAGATGAGATAGACAGATAGGATAGATAGATATATAATAAATAGAGATAGATGACAGACAGATAGATAGATAGATAGATAGATAGATCTCAGTTCTTGTGGGTTTTTTCGGGCTATATGGCCATGTTCTAGAGGCATTTCTCCTGACGTTTCGCCTGCATCTATGGCAAGCTTCCTCAGAGGTCAGATAGATAGATAAATAGACGAGATAGAAATAGAGATAGATGAGATAGATAGATATAGATATAAATAGATAGAGGAGAGAGACAAACAGACAATAGTGACAGAGAAAAATTATATATATATATATATATATATATATATATATATATATATATATAATTTTTCTCTGTCACTATTGTCTGTTCGTCTCTCTCCTCTTTTCTCTATATATATTGGTAGTAGACAGATGAGAGAGAGAGAGTCATTAGATAGATAAGAGAAATAAGAAAAGGTAGGTAATAGATAAATAGGTCAGAGAGAAAGCAACAAGACATAGAAACAGCAGGCAGGCAGACAGACAGACAGATGGTGAATTGGCAATATACACATTTGACAGTATAGTTGCCCCCTCCCCCTTTACTAGGCCATTGTATAAACTGGGACTGGAATGTCCATGGATTTTGATATCCACAAGGGATCCTGGAACCAAAACTCAGCAGATACGGAGGGCTCACCATATTTTCCGAAAAGAGAGCTGTTCAAAAGGGAAAAGAGAGCTGTTCGAAAGGGAAGGAGGACAAGGCAGACAGGGAGGTCGCTTGCATTTTTGAGCCCTCCTTGGGGTCTTGTTATACAGACTCATAGAATCATAGAGTTGGAAGAGACCACATGGACCACCCAGTCCAATCCCCTTCTGCCATGCAGGAAAAGCACAATCAAAGCACCCCTGACAGATGGCCATCCAGTCTCTGTTTAAGAGCTTCTAAGGAAGGACTTGTATAGACTTCAACATTCACAGAGGTCCATCCCAAGCTAGGTTTTGCATTGTAAGACCAATTCTGGAAGGCGGTTTGGCTTAGATGTGATGCCCTTTCCTCTCCCGATATGGGGACGATGGGGATGCCATTACCTGGAGCAGCTCAAAGGCAGCCAGGAGGTCTCCGGCGGTGGAGTTTCCCCGGTATATCTGGTAGTACTCCAACTGGGGAGGGAAGCGGGGCGGGCAGTACTCCTCGTCCGACATCTTCACCACCGGCTTCGCAAACGTCCGGCCCATGAAGTCCGCCTTGCCCTGGAAAGGGTTTTCAAAGAGGGCCAAAGAGGCATTTAGAGCTCTGGTTACACTATGGAATCATTGAGTTGGAAGAGACCTCATGGGCCATCCAGTCCAACCCCATTCTGCCAAGAAGCAGGAATATTGCATTCAAATCACCCCGACAGATGGCCATCCAGCCTCTGTTTCAAAGCTTCCAAAGAAGGAGCCTCCACCACACTCTGGTGCAGAGAGTTCCACTGCTCAATGGCTCTCACAATCAGGAAGTTCTTCCTCATGTTTGAAGCCATTGTTCCATTGCATCCTAGTCTCCAGGGCAGCAGAAAGGAAGCTTGCTCCCTCCTCCCTATGACTTCCGCTCACATATGTATACCTGGCCCTCATCATGTCTCCCCTCCGCCTTCTCTTCTGCAGGTTAAACATGCCCAGCTCTTTAAGCCGCTCCTCATAGGGCTTGTTCTCCAGACCCTTCATCATTTTGGTCACCCTCCCCTGGACACATTCCAGCTTAGAGTCAACATCTCCAATTGTGGTGCCCAGAATTGGACACAGTGTGATTCCAGGCAGAATAGAGCATGGGGGGCATGTAACACATTTTTTGTTCCTGGGTTATAAATACCATTTCCTAATTGGGTCTATCATAAAAACAAGGGAAATGGTTCTTAAACTGCAAACACTTTGTTTTTTGAGGGACATCCTGCAGCACATTTTGCTATAGTTTTTGAATGAATATCTCATTGAGTCTCAACCAATCCCACCTAGTTTGTGGCAGCCACAAAAACAAAGTTTCTGGTGTAGAACAACTACTTTCAAAGTAAGTACCACACAATTAATCAGGAAATAACACTTTCAAACCAGGAACAGAACATTTTTCAATTTTTGTTCCATACTGTTATTGATTTAATACACAGGGTCAGCCCAGGTGGGGATTTGGATGGGAGACCATCAATGAATCCTAGGTGTTAGAGGTGATCTTTAAGAAGAAGAATCTGGCAAAATTTCCTCTGAGTCTTCCTTTCCTAAGAAAACCCTGCCTAAAGGCATCTGAGCCCATCTTGGAAGCTAATCAGGGTCAGCCCTGGTTGCAATTTGGATGGGAAACCACCAAGAAATCCCAAATACTGGAGGTGATATTTCAGAGGAAGGACTGGCAAAATAACATCTGTGTCTTCCTTGCCTAAGAAATTAATGCCTAAATATTCTGAAGGCACCAGATTCTGTCTGATCTTAGATGCTAAGCAGGGTCAGCCCTGGTGGGGATTTGGATGGGAGACCACTAATGAATCCTAGGTGTTAGAGGTGATCTTTCAGAGGAAGGATTTGGCAAAACATGTTCTGAGTTTTCCTTTCCAGGAGAAGGAACTAGCAGAACCTCCTCTGCTTAATAAATCCTTGCCTAAACATCCTAAAAGCACCAGATCTGATCTGGTCTTGAAAGCTAAGCAGGGTCAGCCCTGGTTAGTATTTGGATGGGAGGCCACCAAGGTGCTGTAGTTAAAACCATCTCTGGTGGTTTTCTTTGCCCTAGAAAACCCTCCAAAATCCATAGCACCATCATAAATTGATCTTAAGCCACACATACAAGATCTGACCTTGGTCCTTTCCTCCGCCCCAAATGAGCCTAGAACTCATAGAGCAGGTATGGTCAAGCTTCGGCCCTCCCTTCAGGTGTTTTGGACTTCAACTCCCATAATTCCCAACAGCCGGTAGGATTTTCTATGGCTTTTCCAAGTCCCTGGTGTCTCTTACCACCGTGTCCTGGTCGTAGATCTCAATCACGATGATGGGAGGGTCATCCCGCATCTCATGGGCTTCTCCGTACAGCTCCACGTTGTCGAAGACCAGCAGCTGGTCCCAGGTCGGACACAGTGTCTCATTGAGGACCTGAGGGGAGAAAAGCATCCGTATGGATCACGTCTGGTGGCAACCCAAACAAGCCTGCCCAAATATCTTTTGGGGACCCGAGAGTCGTTGATCTTACATTGGGGATGGCCACAAATTTGTACAACGGAGCAATGGCTTCTGTGCCGCTACACCCAGACGTTATAAAAATAAAACTAAGATGTGCTTCTCTCTATGTCTGAGAGAACTGTGGGTGTCTTTCTTTAGAAGCTTGAGATATTCAGCAACTGAGGCTATTAAAGGTTTTGAACATCAAAAAAAGGGATATTTGTATTGTCAGCGCCAATTGTGTTTAAGTGCAGGCCAAGGTCTTTAGGCACTGCACCCAGTGTGCCGATCACCACTGGGACCACCTTTACTGGTCTGTGGCAGTCTTTGCAGTTCGATCTTTAAATCTTCACATCGTGTCAGCTTTTCCAGTTGTTTCTCTTCAATCCTGCTGTCACCTGGGATTGCAACATTAACGATCCATACTTTGTTTTTTAACACGATTGTGAGGTCAGGAATGTTGTGCTCCAAAACTCTGTCTGTCTGAATCCGGAAGTCCCAGAGGAGTTTGGCGTGTTCATTCTCTGTAACTTTTTCCGGCTTGTGATTCCACCAGTTCTTTGTTGCAGGCAGGTGGTGTTTGTGGCACAAGTTCCAATGAATCATCTGAGCAATGGTGTTGTGCCTCTGCTTGGAGTCTGTCTGCACGATCTTCTTGCAGCAGCTCAGGATGTGATCTATTGTTTCATCTTTATTATTATTATTATTATTATTATTATTATTATTATTATTATTATTCTAGACTCCATTCTTATCTTATAGGGCAGTGTTTCTCAACCTGGGGGTCGGGATCCCTGGAGGGGTCGCGAGGGGGTGTCAGAGGGGTCGCCAAAGACCACCAGAAAACACAGTATTTTCTGTTTGTCATGGGGTTTCTGTGTGGGAAGTTTGGCCCAATTCTGTCATTGGTGGGGTTCAGAATGCTCTTCAATTGTAGGTGAACTATGCATCCCAGTAACTACAACTCACAAGTGTCAATGTTTATCTTCTTCAAACTCAACCAGTGTCCACATTTGGGCATATTAAGTATCTGCCAAGTTTGGTCCAGATCCATCATTATTTGAGTCCACAGTGCTCTCTGGATGGAGGTGAACCACAACTCTCAAACTCAAGGTCAATGCCCACCAAAACCTCCAGCATTTTCTGTTGGTCATGAGAGTTCTGTGTGCCAAGTTTGGTTCAATTCCATCATTGGTGGAGTTCAGAAGGAGAGCAGGAGCTGGAAAGGAACTGTAGTTGGCTCTTTTCACCTTGAATACGGTAGCAGTAGTTGGTGTACTCCAGTGTTTCTCAACCTGGGGGTCAGGACCCCTGAGGGGGGCCTCGAGGAGGTGTCAGAGGGGTTGGTTGAGTCCATGGTGCTTTCAGAATGTCGGTGACCTACAACTCCCAAACTCAAGGTCAATGCCCACCAAACCCTTCCAGTATTTTCTGTTGGTCATGGGAGTTCTGTGTGCCAAGTTTGGTTCAATTCCATAATTGGTGGAGTTCAGAAGGCTCTTTGATTGTTTTGTTGCAACTACAACTCCCAAATGACAAAATCAATCCACCCCAACCCCACCAGTATTCAAACTTGGGTGTATTGAGTATTTGTGCCAAATTTGGTCCAGTAAATGAAAATACATCAGATATTTACATTACAATTGATATCAGTAGCAAAATGACAGTTATGAAGTAGCAATGAAAATGATCTTATAGTTGGGGGTCACCACAACATGAAGAACTCTATTAAGGGGTCGTGGCAATAGAAAGGTTGAGAACCACTGTTATAGGGGGTTGGCTTAACCCTTGGTTTGCTAGTAAAATTGTATCACCATTCATGACTACAAAGTATGCCATCAACATGAAAAGTTGGAAAGTTCTGTTCTAAACGAACTCCTTAGCCATCTTGGGGTGTGTCTACACTGTTGAATGAATGCAGTTTGACACCATTTGGAACTGCCATGTCTCATTGCAATGAAATCATGGGACTTGGGAGTTTTGCAAGCTCTTCTAGCCTTCCTTGCCGAAGAGTTCTGATACCTCAGCAAATTACAATTCCCAGGATTCTATCAAACGAGGCACGGGAGTTTACGTGGTGCCAAACTCTATTTATTGTACAGTGTAGATGCAACCTAGGGTGGAGAGGTCAAAGGAAGTGCAGAAGCGACCATTGGGTGCAACATCTCCTGGTCAGAAGACACCCAAGTCAAACAGTTATATCTCCCATGCCTCTTCCCTCTTCTTTACCTCCGTGCATTGGCTCTGAGTGATGAAGAAAACCCGGGCAAAAGGGTCCGAAAGTCCACTGCTGTCCGCAGCAAAGAGGCTCCTGGCCTGGTACATGTGGACGCGGAGCTGGAAGACCTGTTTCTCTGCAGAGGAAGATCAAAAGCAGAAGGTCATTGTCTCAACTTCATGGACAAGGAAGGGGCCCCCAAAGGCCATCCAGTCCAGCCCCATTCTGCCAGGAAGAAGACATAATCACTAGGCCTGTTTGATCAAGAAAAAATTTGTTTCTAAAATCGATTTGTAATTGGGGTGTTTTTTTGTTTCGATATTTAAAATAATTACAAAACTTTTCAAAAAAAAGTTTTGGTATTTAAGAAATTTTGTAAATATTAACGAATTTTTAGAATATTTTTGGTATTTCTTAAAATAATATTAAAATAATATTAAAAATATTTTAAAATGGAAAATTAACCAAAAAATGGCCCAAATGTGGACCAAACACAGGCAGGATACAGCAAATGAGAGCACACACCAACAGAAGAGTCTTTTCTTTTTTAGAATATTTTTTAAGAATAATATTAAAATAATATTAAAAAATAATATTAAAATAATATTAAAAATATTTTAAAATGGAAAATTAACCAAAAAATAGGCCCAAATGTGGACCAAACACAGGCAGGATACAGCAAATGAGAGCACACACCAACAGAAGAGTCTTTTCTTTTTTAGAATATTTTTTAAGAATAATATTAAAATAATATTAAAAAATAATATTAAAAATAATATTAAAAATATTAAAAATAATATTAAAAATATTTTAAAATGGAAAATTAACCAAAAAATGGCCCAAATGTGGACCAAACACAGGCAAGAGACAGCAAATGAAGCAAGCAGCACTCACAGCAGCAAGGAATGAATCCAATCCCAGTTGCTAGCAGCCATTGCCAAGCCAACCCAATGCAAACTCCCTCGCCCTCTGCAGCAAGCTACGGGCCACGCGGAGCCGCTTTGAAAGGGCTCGCCGGCCAATCAAAAAGAGACAGCCACGGACCCATGGTGCACTGCTTGGGAGCGCCGGATTGGCTCCCATGCACCAGCACTCCAGCAGCCTCCACCCCATTAACGAAACGAGCGGAGGCTCGTTAAAACTATGGGGGTTGCTGGTTCGATATTTAAAAACCCTTCCGGGTTTGGAAATATGTTTCAATATCGCTTCGGAAATGCTAAAAATAACGAATTAATAACGAATTAACAAATTAACGAACGAAACCGCACAGGCCTAATAATCACTGGAAAAAATAATAATGCACATATGGGTTTAAGAAAAAAAGCCTTACTGGTGTAAAGGAGGCAGATGGGTGGGAAGTTCGGGATGCCCTGTCCCCTGGGCAGCTTCTTCTCTTCGAAGCCGCAAGGAAGCCCCCCGAGGTAGTCCTTCCGCTGCTTGTTCAGCCCCAGCCACAGGTAGATCTCCATTTTGGCCTGCACTGTCCAGCCGGCCGGTCCAAAGCCCCTTTTCCCTGGCAACTAAGAAAGAAAGGGGCCGAAGAAGGCAAAGAAAGACGTTTAGTCACTGGCCCAAAGTCTCCAAACTAACTCCGGAGCTAGACTCCGCAAAACACTAAGGATGCAATGGGATATTATGGTTGCCTACTGTCAAATCATTTCCACTCCCAGATTTGACTTCTGGACTGCATCAATGGCTAGTGTGTCCTGCTAGTGGAACCCACTAGTGGCTAGTAGACCACCCTATTTGTTAGTAAAGAGCCGAAAGGAGAGCCAGGGATGCATATTATTATTATTTGATACATAACAAGATTAGTACACATCAGACAAGATCACTCTGTGGACTTTTGCATTCAATCACACACAAGTAGGTTGTGGCACAGCTGGTTGGGAGTCAGCGGCATTAAAATCACTCCTGACTGAGAGGTCATAGAGGTCATGAGTTCGAAGCCAGCCCGGGTCAGAGTGAGCTTCCAGCCATTTGTCTAGCTTGCTGTTGACCTTTGCAGCCCGAAAGATAGTATATTTATTGTTTATTTATTTATTTATTTCAAATATTTGTACCCCACCCTTCTCTACCCCCGAAAGGGAGACTCAGGGCGGCTTACAGCCGGTAACAATTCAATGCCCCAAATTTATTTATTTATTTATTTATTTATTTATTTATGTATTTATTTATTGTATTTGTATACTGCCTTTCTCAGCCAATTGGCAACTAAAGGCAGTTTCTAACAAATCAGTATACATAAAACATAATATAGATAAAAAAAACATTAAACAGTATAAGACATCACAAAAGCAATATATATACAACAGATAAAAACAACAGTTACATAATAAGTAAACAATAAATTAGATGAAAAACCATTAAAATAGTACAGATAGTCCAAGTTCAACAATCATCAACGTAATCCAGTTGCATCTGTCAAGTAGGAAATGTAGGTACCGCTTATGCGGGGAGGCTAATTTAACTAATTTACGACGCCATAAAACTCTCCAACAGTGTGCAAAAGAATGAGGAAGTACTCCATCGGTGTCACAAGTGGACGGTGTAGCGACAGCTCCCCCGGTGGCCAGAATTCAAAAAGGATATCCTTATGAAGCTGGGATGTTAAATAGCCTGTGTGTCTCTGTCTATATATGTCGTGTGTCTATGGCATTGAATGCTTGCCATGTATATGTGCATTGTGATCCGCCCTGAGTCTCCTGAGGGGTGGGAAGGGCTGAATACAAATACTGTAAGTAAGTAAGTAAGTAAATAGATAAATAAATAAATACTTTATTGCAAGGTTCCCCTGATAAGATTTGCTCCAAGGAGGTTTACCCTAGTTTTCCTCTAAGGCTGAGACAGTGTGACTCATGAAAATACATCCCAGGAAGCTCCATGGCCAAGTGGGAATTCGAACCAGAGTTTCCAGAGCTTCAAGCATGATATGATGTTGGCTCTCCATAGTCCAGTGCTTCAAGCATGATATGATGTTGGCTCTCTTGGAAAGAAGTAACACCAAACATTCCTTCCACCCCTACTTTTGGCTCACCTTCAGGAAGACGGTTTTCACTTTGCCGCAGTCCTTGCCCGTTTCCTCGTCCACGATGGAGTACAGGATGTCCTTGGAAGGGATGCGGGCGTACGCAATGCGCTTGTTGTTGCTCATCATCCAAATGAAGACCTCCGGGATGCTGTGCTGGGGCTGCGGGAGGGAAGGGGAGAGGTGGGGGACATAAGAAGCGGGGTGCAACTGGTTGCTAATTTCCTCCATGGAGTTGGAAAGGATCTCTAAAGGACATCTAGTCCAACTCCTTTCTACCATGGAAGGAATACACAACCCAAGCCTTTCTCTGGATGCACTTTGGCTGTCAATATTCTGCTTTAATTGTTGTGCCCAGAACTGGACACAGTATTATTCCAGGTGAGGTTTGGTTAAAGCAGGAGAGAGTGGGGCTAAACACTATCCTCTTATGGATGCAGCCTAGACTGGCACTGGCCTTTTTCGGTATGCTGGACCTCACCTCGTCGGCCAAGAAGCGCAGCTTCTGCAGGAAGTTCTGGGACTGCTTCAGCTTGTCCCGGATGGTGGTCTTCTTCACCTGGGAGCGCATGGTCTTGGCCTGCTGGCCCATCGTCTCCTGAATGGTTGTTGGCCCAAGAAGAAGAGAGAGACAGGAGAGGGAGAAACGAAAGAGGAGATGCTTGAATATGAATCTAGGAAACTTTGTAGACCTCAAGCTGAACACGTATCTGCAGAGGGATGGCTAGTGGGTCCCACTAGTGGCGGGTATAACCTACTACTATCTAGTAGACCCCACTATTGGCTAGTCGGAACTGCTATTGACTAGTGGAAGCTGCTATGAGCTAATGGGACCTGCTATTGGCTAGTAGGATCTGCTATTGGCTGGTGGAATCAACTATTGTCTAGTGGGACCAGCTATTGGTTACTGGGACCAACTATTGTCTAATGGGACTGGCTATTGGTTAGTGGAATCAGTTATTGGTTAGTCGGACCAACTATTGGCTAGTGGGACCAGCTATTGGTTAGTGGGGCCTGCTAGTGGTTATTAGGACCTGCTATTGGCTAATGGGGCCTGCTATTGGCTAGTGGGACCAGCTATTGGTTATTGGGACCAGCTATTGGATAGTGGGGCTTGCTATTGGTTATTAGAACCTGCTATTGGCTAGTGGGAACTGCTATTGACTAGTCAAAACTGCTATTGACTAGTGGAAATTGCTATTAGCTAATGGGACCTGCTATTGGATAGTGGGAACAGCTGTTGACTAGTGGGACAAGTTATTGGCTAATGGGACCTGCTATTGGCTAATGGAACCTGCTATTGGCTAATGGCATCAGCTATTGGTTAGTGGAGCCAGCTATTGGCTAGTAGGACCTGTTATTGGCTAGTGGACCTTGCTATTGGATGGTTGACCTTCTCTGTGGTTATTATGTACCACTATTGCTTAGTTAGGATCTGATACTGGCCAGTGTGAGCCACCAATGGGACCTGTTAGTGGCTAATGGGTCTGCTACTGCGTAGTGGACCCTACTAATGGGTAGTGGTTTCCACTAGTAGTACTGTTCTTCCATAGTAGCTAGTGTGATCTACTAGTAGCAAGTGGCCTCCACAAATGGCTAGTGGGACCTGCTACTGGGTAGTGGACCCCACTAGCGATTTGCTAGTTGCTAGTGGATCCTGCTAGTGTGCCCCACTTTTGAGTAGTGGGGTCTACTATTAGTTTAGTGTGTGCTATAGTGGCGAGTGTGTCTCACTGATGGCTAGTTGCCCCCATTCTTGGGGAGTGGTTAGTGAGTCCCACTATTGGCTACTGACCCCTGCAAGTGGCTAGTGCAGTATTCATTCCAAGTTTCAGTACCTGGGACAGCTCCTTAGACATTTGCCCTAAAATCCAGAGCTGTGACCCAGCCCGACCTGACCTCTTGGGCTCTCCTCTCACACCCTCCACTTCCCAGGGAGACTCTCACCAGCTCCCGCATGCAGGACTTCAGCCTCTCTCGGTCCAGCCGCGTCCGGGAGGAATGGCCCTGCTCTTTGTTGGCGAGCGTCACGAACCGCCTGCAAGAGAGGAGCACCGTGGGACCATCTAGACCTCACAACCTCTAAGGATGCTTGCCATAGATACAGGTGAAATGTCAGGAGAGAATGCCTCTAGAACATGGCCATATAGCCGCCCAAAAAACCCTACAACAATGCAGTGATTCCAGCCATGAAAGCCTTCGACAATACTTTGGAAGGGGTTATTTTGATGTCCTCCTCAAGGAAAGCATCACAGTCAACTGGAATTATCTGCGAAAGTTTGCTGAAAGGAGCAGCAGCTGAGAATCTCTGGATAAAAAGGGGTCTGAAAGAGATAGCTCTTTGGTAGCAGATAACGTCGTACTTTGTCCTAATCTTGGCTATGTTACCACTAGATTAGAATTCTGGATCTGAACCTTGTTCCTATAATCCTTTTTTTGGACTCTGCTGTTCCTGGTACCCTGTTCTGGACCTTGTTGTATCTAGAAATCTTGAACTTTGGACTGACTTCCTGCCTTTGAGTTAAAGACTTGGATTTCAGTTTGACCCCTGACTGTCTGGTTTGACTTGGGAACTTTGACTGCAATTTGTACTCTTGAACATCGAGAAAACCAAAGTGCTCTTCCAGCAGTCACCAGCCAACCCCTCTGCAATGCCAGAGATACAGCTTAATGGCGTAATGTTAGAAAATGTTGATCATTTCCGCTTCCTTGGCAGCCACCGCTCCACAAAAGTCAGCATTGACACTGAAATACGACACCACCTGAGCTCTGCAAGTGCACCTTTTTTCCAAATGAAGCAGAGAGTGTTTGAGGACCAGGACATCCATAGAGAGACCAAGGGGCTTGTTTATAAAGCCATTCTCCTCCCAATCCTGCTCTACTCCTGCGAGACGTGGACTGTCTACAGATGTCAACATTGAAACTGAAATACAACAACACCGCCTGAGCTCTGCAAGTGCAGCATTTTCCTGAATGAAGCAGAGAGTGTTTGAGGACCGGGACATCCATAGGGAGACCAAGGGTCTTGTTTATAAAGCTATGTCCTCCCAACCCTACTATACGCCTGCAAGACGTGGACTATCTACAGACGTCACATGCAACTCCTGGAACGATTCCATCAGCACTGCCTCCGGAAAATCCTGCAAATCTCTTGGGAAGACAAGCGGACAAATGTAAGCGTGCTGGAAGAAGCAAAAACCACCAGCACTGAAGCGATGGTCCTCCTCCATCAACTCTGCTGGACTGGCCACGTTGTCCAGATGCCCAACCACCATCTCCCAAAGTAGTTGCTCAACTCTGAACTCAAGAATGGAAAACGGAATGTTGGTGGGCAGGAAAAGAGATTGAAAGATGGGCTCAAAGCCAACCTTAAAAACTCTGGCATAGACACTGAGAACTGGGAAGCCCTGGCCCTTGAGTGCTCCAGCTGGAGGTCAGCTGTGACCAGCAGTGCTGTAGAATTTGAAGAGGCACAAATGGAGGGCAAAGGAGAGAAATGTGCCAAGAGGAATGCACAACAAGCTAACCCCAAACGGGACCGCCTTCCACCTGGAAACCAATGCCTTCACTGCGGGAGAACATGTGGGTCAAGAATAGGGCTCTACAGACACCTATGGACCCACCGCCAAGACACTGATCTTGGAAGACTATCCTACTCGGAAAATGAGGGATCACCTAAGTAAGCAGCCCTTTCCACTTCCAACCAAAGTGTCCCCAACTCACAGGCAACTGCTGCTCAGTTCCTCCAGAACCCCTCGCAGGCGCCGTTCTGGATGGGGCTTCTCCGTCTTGATCATCTCATGAACATCGTTGAGGCCTTCTTCCTAAAAGGCCATAAACAACATTCAATAGAGAAAGCCAAAAGCAGGAGACTCGGGTCAACTATCTGGGAAGGTCATTCAAAAGAGCACTTGGGTTGCACCACTGCTTGCCTCCTCCAAGAGGTAGATGGGCTTTAGAGTCCTTGCAATGGCTGAATATGGCATAGAAAAGGCTCAATTCGTTCCTCTACATAGTTATGAAATAAACCAATCCTCATAATTCCAGAATTAATGACATCTAAATCAGACATGGTCAAACTTGGGTCCTCCATGTGTTTTGGACTTCAACTCCCACAATTCCTAACAGCCTACCACTTGGAGGGCCCAAGTTTGCCCATGCCTGCTCTAGACACTAACCGTCTACTGTTGCAGCCTAGAATCGCATTGGCTTTTTCAGCTGCCGCATGACACATTCTGCTTGCAGTCTACTTGGGCCAAGACACTCACCAATTTGTCTGCAATTTTGTCCATAATGTTGGAGTTGTAGAGCCGCCGCCTCTGGTCCTGCCACCAACTCTTCATGTAAATGCAGGGCTTCTTGTCGAAATACGGCAGGTGGAAGTAGTTCCTGGAAGGGCAGGAGGGAAATTGCACCTTGAGGTGCACCTTGAAATTGCACCTTGAAATTGCACCCTCCCCCCCCCCCCCAGCCAGGCTATTGTTAGATAGATAATGCACCTTTAGACAGGTATGCAGTGGCTGTAACCTTGTTGTGAAACACTGTTGGAAAATACAGTTCTAATGGACATGTGGATATGTAATACTGTTGGAAAATACAGTTCGAATGGACATGTGGTTGTCAATTCTGTTGGAAAATACAGTTCTAATGGACATGTGGTTGTGTAATACTGTTGGAAAATACAGTTCTAATGGACACGTGGACATGTAATACTGTTGGAAAATACAGTTCTAATGGACATGTGGTTGTTAATACTGTTGGAAAATACAATTCTAATGGACATGTGGTTGTGTAATACTGTTGGAAAATACAGTTCTAATGGACATGTGGTCGTGTAATACTGTCGGAAAATACAATTCTAATGGACATGTAGGTGTGTAATACTGTTGGAAAATACAGTTCTAATGGACATGTAGGTGTGTAATACTGTTGGAAAATACAGTTCTAATGGACATGTGGTTGTTAATACTGTTGGAAAATACAGTTCTAATGGACATGTGGTTGTGTAATACTGTTGGAAAAGACAGTTCTAATGGACATGTGGTCGTGTAATACTGTCAGAAAATACAGTTCTAATGGACATGTGGGTGTGTAATACTGTTGGAAAATACAGTTCTAATGGACATGTGGGTGTGTAATACTGTTGGAAAATACAGTTCTAATGGACATGTGGCTACACATCGATTTAAGTGGGTGATGATGTGGAACTGAGGGGACATGTTAAAGAAGCTGAGTCATGACCATGTGACAGTCATTATGAGAGCTGCATCATTCACTTTTGTCCCTGGCTGATGACAACCAAGCAATGGGTATAAAAGAGGTCAGGAAGCATGTGCTCTCTCTCTCTCTTGTCACAATTCTCTTGCCTCTCACTGTACATCTGTTGCCAGAGGCAGCCCTAGGTAATTTTCAAAGGTAAGCAAACAGTATTTTGCCCCCCCCCCACCAATCATTGATATATATTTTCTGTTCGTTGTGGGAGTTCTGTGTGCCATATTTGGTTCAATTCCATCATTGGTGGAGTTCAGAATGCTCTTTGATTGTAGGTGAACTATACATCCCAGTAACTACACTTGACGCACTTGCTCCCTTGCCTGGCCCGCTTTGGGTCCAGAGGCGTGTCTGAAGACTCCGGCGTGTGCACCAAAAGTCACCTCTTCTCCTGACTTTCTCCTCCACCTCTTGGCCCACCCGCGGATTGGGGAGAGGAGAGGAGGCGGGTGGAGTGCCAGGGGATCAGGAAAGGGAGCCGGTCATGGGGAAGGGATCGAATGCGGAGAACGATTGAGCACTGGCTCTGCTCGCGCACCCGGTGGCCAGGTGGAGCAGGAACAAGAGGGGCTAGGCGAGGCTCAAGGGCCCGGCCCCTTTGGGAAGAGGATCGCCCGGCAGCAAGGCAAGAAAGCCGAGGCTCCCCCCGGACTGCTAGGGCTGTTGTGAGCTGAGGGGGCACTACTCAAGTGGTGGTCGAGGGGAATTTACAGAGGTGCCTCTGTGCCCCTGGCAAAAAAAGTGTTCTGCGACTGCTTACTTCGCGTAATGGACAAGCCGCCCCTGTCTGTTGCTGATATCTGCATTGTGAGCATATCTCTGCATATGCCATTGACTGATAGGAAATTGGGGGATCTCGAAGTGTGTGTATATAGATGTACATTAAGCAACATGTCAGGATGAAAAGTCTCCACTGTGAGTTTGGATGAAAACTAAGTCAAATAGTTTTCTTAAACAGTGAACGGCGCAAGGTCACACTGTGTAGTAAAACTCTGTTGACAACTGATAAAGACTCTGCAATGTATGGGTTTATGTTCATAGCTTGCCCCTGAAACAATCAATATTTAGGGAGGGCTTGACTGAGGCAGGGGAAAACTATAGATTGCACATATCTCATCTTTGATAGCTATGACTTCTCCCCAACTTTTTCAACCAGTAGGACCCTAGGAGTTGGAGGGAACCCAGTAGGATGGCATACATAGTTTTCATAGAATCATATAGTTGGAAGAGACCACATGGGCCACCTAGTCCAGCCCCGTCCCATGCAGGAAAAGACAGGAAGGCAATAGGGGAGAGGAAGAACTTGGCAGTTACAAAAATCCAACTCTAAATCACATTGTGTGCCTTCAAGTAATTTCTGACTATTGGCAACCCTCAGGTGAACCTATCTCCTCTCTTCTTCCTCTCCCTTGTTGCCCACCCACATCACTTGCCTGTCGGTGACCAAAGGCTTCATGGGTGGAGTGACCGACACGGAGATGAATTCTCCCTCATCGCCTCCTTCTTCTTCGCTCTCGTTCTGGAGCAGCTCCGATTCCTCTTCGTTGCCATCTCCTCCGCCTTCTTTCTTCTTCTTGATGACAGGCTTCGACATCCCATCGATCTCGTTACCGTAATTGCCTTGGGAAAAAGGAGAGTTTGGGTTCAAAAACAGCCTGAACACCCCCATTTCGACGTGGAGTGAATTCATTCTGGATTTTAGTCCAAACTGTTAAGGACTTACCTGTTCTTCTAGGTTGCGTCTACACTGCAGAACAAATGCAGTTTGAGACCACTTTAACTGCCATGGCTCAAAGCTATAGAATACTGGGATTTGTAGTTTGGTGAGGCATCCATGCTATTTGGCAGAGAAGAATCAAAACCTCCTTGTGCAACACCTCTCATGTTTCCATAGAATTGAGCCATATCAGTTAAAGCAATTCCAAACTGCATAGTTTCTACCATGTAGATGAATATTGGGACATACCTGTCCCTTTGTAAGGGCTCCAATATTTACTTCTTCTGCTTTCTAAATAAGCCATAAAGCATCCCTACACGCCCCAAATGCCTTTCAAAACAGGTTTCTGGGCACAGCTGTTTCCCAATTCCTGCTATTTTTGGAAAATTATTTGGTGGTCTGCTTTACACTTCTTTCCAAGGGTCTAAGGGCCAAAATTCACTGATATTAGCCTACAGTCTAATATCTAGGCTAATAGAAATTATTATTATTATTATTATTATTATTATTATTATTATTATTACTAGCCGTTCCCTGCCACGGGTTGCTGTGGCTAAGTCTGTGTATATGTGTTTTGTGTGAATGTGTGTTTGCATGTATATATATATATGTGTGTGTGTGTGTGTGTGTGTGTGTGTGTGGTTTTGCACATGCGTTGTCATTTATTTTTTATTTCTTGGCTTTTTAAGTCTCTCCTGCTGTGTTTTTCAGTGTTTTTATGAGTGATGATCACTTGTTGGCCTGATAGGTGTCTTGTGTCCAAATTTGGTGTCAATTGGTCCAGTGGTTTTTTGAATTATGTTAATCCCACAAATGAACATTACATTTTTATTTATATAGATTATTATTATTATTACTAGCCACCCCCTGCCAGGCATTGCTGTGGCCCAGTCTGGTGATCTGGAAAATAAAGTAATCAGAAAGTGTTGGTTTCTAATATATGTAATTTCTTTATTCTTGTGGGTAAACAGTATTTCTTGCTGTTTCTTTGTCAGTCCTGATGTGGAGATTGTCTGGTTTACCTACTCTGGAATATGCAACATATAATTGTCCTTCACCACACTCCGAGGCAGAGAGTTCTACTGCTGAACGGCTCTCACAGTCAGGAAGTTCTTCCTATATATATGGAGCCCCTGATGGCACAGTGGGTTAAACCGCTGAGCTGCTGAACTTGCTGACCGAAAGGTCACCGTTTCGAATCCAGAATTTGGGGTGAGTGCCTGCTGTTAGCCCCAGCTTCTGCCAGCGTAGCAGTTCGAAAACATGCAAATGTGAGTAGATCAATAGGTACCGCTCTGGCGGGAAGGTAACGGCACCCCATGCAGTCATGCCAGCCACCCACATGATCTTGGAGGTGTCTACAGACAATGCTGGCTCTTCGGCTTAGAAATGGAGATGAGCAGCAACCTCCTGAGTCGGACATGACTGGACTTAATGTCAGGCGAAAACCTGACATTACACTTATGATGTCAGACCAGAAATTTGTTTCTTAGGATTGGCAGATTGAAAACTAGAAAGGGCTCCTATGCCTTTAATGCAGGCATGGGCCAACTTCAGCCCTCCCTCCAGGTGTTTTGGACTACAACTCCCACAATTCCTAACAGCCGGTAGGCTGTTAGGAATTGTGGGAGTTGAAGTCCAAAACACCTGGAGGGAGGGCCGAAGTTGGCCCATGCTTCCTTTAATTCTTTCCTCTAGGGTGGCATTCAAGGCAGAGTTTTCAATGGAGCAACCCCTAGAAATGGATGGCAGGCCCCTGTATATTCATTAGGATACAAACACATGCCCAAAGCTTTGATACCAACCGATTGTGACCTCAAAGTTGATCGGTTTGTCTCCGTTCTTCCGGTCAATCATGGTGGCCTCCAGCAAGGACCCGAAGAGGAAGAACTCCTCCATCTTGCCAGTGCAGTTCTGCAAGAAACCCAGCCATTGTATTTACATAATCATAGATGTGGCGGAGGCTTAAGTCCAGCCTTGAGGCTGCTTGCAAGACCAAGCGGACACTTACATCGGAGACCGGAGTGGCCAGCTCTACCTGCACCTCTGTGGAACTGGTGAGCTCTGGGTTACTGGTGTCCAATATCTCCACTGACAAGCCGAGGAGCAGCCGGGCCCGGAAGGAGACCCCTTCCCCGAGCCCCTCGTTCAGGTCCTGATGCTCGTCCATCAGGGTGTAGTTGCGGGTGGAGCCGTACATGTTTACCCAGGCCGGACCGAAGGTGGGGAGGAAGCCTGAAGGAGACAGAGGACCAAGAGGAAGAAGCTGAAACACACAGCAACTTACCGATTTAATGGGTGATGTGCAGTCTGATGGCCCAATGCTACTTCTGTAGCCTGGTCAGATTCTGAGTGCTCAGAAGATGAGGAAAAGGATGATGGGCTAGATTCAGAAAGCCCAGAGGAGGATAGAAGTGGCCTGGAGAGAGTTGTTTTGGACTCTCCCGGCGGTTCCCGCAAGACTGGAGAAAGTGCTATCAGTTCTCATGAGAACCTTCCAAAAGTGCAGGTTGAAAAAATGTGGGAGATGAATGTTTGTCTAGGTCAAGACATTTGGCATTATGCAACAAAGACAGACTCGCTTTTCCCAAGGGTTTAGATATAAGGAGAATAAAAGCAGGTGTGTGAGAAATGATGTTATGGGAGGGAATGAGGTCTTTTAAAGCGGTTCCTGCTGGTACAATCCTTTGTGAGAGCAATTCAGGTGAACAGCCCTTGATTTTTGTTCCTATGTTCTTGAAAAGGCCATAAATAAAGAATTTGTTGTGGTTCAACAGTCCCCTGAGCAGCCTGATGGGTTTCAGGAGCAGCCTGATGGGTTTCCGGAGCAGCCTGTTGGGTTTCAGGAGCAGCCTGATGGATTTCAGTTTTCTCAGCCACAGTTTTCTCAGCCTGCAGTAGAGTTGGAGAAGCAGTTCTCACAGGACAGGAATGCAGATGATAAGGAAGAGGCCCAGGTGCTGCTTCAAAGGGATAACAGAACTGTGAGAAGGAGCTTGCGGATCGTTGCCAGGTTAGGTCAGCAACGAGTCAAGGGAGCAGTGGGAAAGTAGATCGTTTTGATGTGTAAAAGTATTTAGGGCTTTCACTGGCGATTCACAGCTGTCATTTTCAACATGGCTTTATGCTAGCAGCTTCATGATCATGCATTGGGAGACAGGAGGCTTGGAGCCTGGGTTTCTTCGTGCTGCTTTTGGACTAAGTTGTTTGGCACAAGGTTTGTGCTTCCTGCTTCATGACTCTTGATTATCTTGCTTTTCTCTGAAGGATTTCTGGAACTGTACCGTGCATTTTACTGAACTTTGGAACTTTGTACTGACTTAACCTTTGCCTTCTTTTGGAAACCTTACAATAAACCATAATTCTTACAGCTGTGGTCTGGTGGTGTTTGAGAGCAAGGTGAAGCTTAATCTGAGGTGCCACAGAAGTAAATAAATAAGTTTTTCGCAGCCTTTGCTAATATTTATGGTTTTAACTTGTTTTGTTTTTTATTTGGTATCTTTTTACTGGCTGTATTTCAAGAACATGGGAATTTATGGTATAAATTCTAGGGCTGGGCAACCATGGGAAAATTTGTTTCTAAACTCGATTCGTTTTTAGGGGGGTTTTGCATTTCGATTTTTAAAAGAATTCCGAATTTTTTCTTTAAAAAAGTTCGAAATTTACGAAATTTCGGAAATTCCGAAACAATTACGAATCGATTCGTTAATGGCGGACGCGACCGCGCAATACGCTAAAAAAACCTCCAAATGGGACAGGGGGAACTTCTGAAGCTTCCCTCTCCCTCTGTTGTTGACTGTTGGTGTGATAAAACAAACAACAACTATAAAACTTGCACCAGACATGCGGAAATAATAACGAAACGATTTCGAAACGATTTCGAAACAATTACGAAACGAATTGAAAAATTCGTTTCGTTTTTAGTTGCTCCTGAATGGTTCAATATCGCTTCGTTATTAAAAAAAAAAACGAATTAATAACGAATTACGAAATTAACGAACGAAACCGCCCAGCTCTACTAAATTCCATTATTGAATAAGTAGGTACAGCATATAAAAGATATGCAAACTTTACAGATTTTCTCTCTCTTGACATCAGCAGCAATTCTCTAACTACTCTCTCCAGCAACCACCATCCATTCCTCATCAACCCACAAGGTGACACTCTCTCAGCCTCAGAGGAAGGTGGCCATTCGTTCCCTTCCCTCTGGACTCACCTTTGTCTCCTTCGTTGGAGATCTTCCGGAGGTCGATGAAGTGGGTCCCGATGGCCACATCGTTGACCTTGTCAGAATCGCGGATCTGGACCTTGATGCGCTTGCAGAGCGGGGGGAACATCTCAGTGATGACGATCTGCTCGTTCCAGTAGGGCTCATAGCTGCTCTTCTGGACAGACGTTTTGCCCTAAGTGGAGAACGCATGGCAGAAAAAGGGTGAAAGCTGGATATTAAGACCAATTTATACAAATTTATAAAGTGGGCAATGATGACCCAGAAATAATGATTTCCTACACATTGGTCCGGTCATTCATCAAAGTGGACAGCATAAGCCTTCATAAACGGGATTCTCATAAGTCAAAATGAATATCTTTAAATATTTTCATCCAAAAAAGTCATTTTGAATGGTGTATTTTTCAAGGATTGTGGATATACAACAGCCAGTAGGCTGTTAGGAATTGTGGGAGTTGAAGTCCAAAACACCTGGAAGGCCAAAGTTGGCCCATGCCTGCTCTAGTGACTTCTGGGACTTGCATACTAGACATTTATTATTGGCTGGTTATCTGGCAGATGTGAAATGGGATCTCGTACCTTCTGTCCGGCAAAAGCAACCTGAACGTAGGGGTCCACCAGGTCTTTGTTCTCCCCGATGAGCGCCTTCTTGACGTTGGCCATGATGCTGGTGTTCATGCGCGGAAGGCCCTCCGCCCGGTAGATCTTGATGTAGAAGCGGGCCCACTGCCGCTCCGGAGGGACTCCGTCGGGGAGAAGAAGGTTCCTGGAGGGGAAAAAAAAAGGAAGGCGTGTCTTAAGGTGCATCTACATGGGGAATGGAAGTGGTTTGGCACCACTAGAGCAGCCATTTATTTATTTATTTATCATGTTAGGAGCAAACCAAACAGTTGTATTGTATCTTTTTAACCACTTGGAGTGCTTCTGGTCTTGCTTTAAGAAGGTCCTCCATTGTGCATGTGGCAGGGCTCTGGCTGCATTGCAGCAGGTGGTCAGTGGTTTGCTCTTCTCCACACTCGCATGTCGTGGACTTCATTTTGTGGCCCCATTTCTTAAGGTTGGATCTGCATGTCGTAGTGACAGAGACAGTCTGTTCAGCTCCTTCCAAGTCTCCTGTCTTCGGTGTGCCCAGAGGGGAGTCTCTCATTTGGTATCAGCCATGGTTTAAGGTGCTGGGTTTGAGCCTGCCACTTTTGGACTCTTGATTGCTGAGGTGTTCCTGCAAGTATCTGTAGATCTTAGAAAACTATTTCTTGATTTAAGTCATTGGTGTGATGGTTGATATCCAAACAGGGGTCAGCTGGAGAAGTCACTACCTTGGTCCTTTCACTATTGATTGCTACTTCCTGGCAGATAATAATAATAATCTTTGTATTGTCAAAGGTTTTCATGGCCGGAATCACTGGGTTGTTGTAGGTTTTTTCGGGCTATATGGCCATGTTCTAGAGGCATTCTCTCCTGACGTTTTGCCTGCATCTATGGCAAGCATCTCAGAGGTAGTGAGGTCTGTTGGAACTAGGAAAAAGGGTTTATATATCTGTGGAATGACCAGGGTGGGACAAAGGACTCTTGTCTGCTGGGGCTAGGGGTGAATGTTTCAACTGACCACCTTGATTAGCATATAATGGCTTGATAGTGCCTAGAGGAAACTTTTGTTGAGAGGTGATTAGATGTCCTTGTTTGTTTCCTCTCTGTTGTTGTGCTGCTGTAATTTTAGAGGTTTTTAATACTGGTAGCCAGATTTTGTTCAACCAGAGAAGTCAGCCATAGCAGAGCACCTGAGGAACCAACCTGGACACAGCATTTTATTTGAGAACACAGAAATGCTGGACCACTCTCACAACCACCATGTCAGACTACACAGAGAAGCCACTGAAATCCACAAGAAGCATGTGGACAATTTCAACAGAAAGGAGGAAACCATGAAAATGAACAAAATCTGGCTACCAGTATTAAAAAAACTCTAAAATTACAACAGCACAACAACAGAGAGGAAACAAACAAGGACATCTAATCACCTCTCAACAAAAGTTGCTCTAGGCACTGTCAGGCCATTATATGCTAATCAAGGTGGTCAGTTGAAACATTCACACCTAGCTCCAGCAGACAAGAGTCCTTTGTCCACCCTGGTCATTCCACAGATATATAAACCCTTTTTCCTAGTTCCAACAGACCTCACTACCTCTGAGGATGCTTGCCATAGATGCAGGCGAAACGTCAGGAGAGAATGCCTCTAGAACATGGCCATATAGCCTGAAAAAACCTACAACAACCCGGTGATTCTGGCCATGAAAGCCTTCGACAATACATTAATGTGATTGTTTTTAATCTATTGTATAATTATGGTTTTATAATGTTGTTTTGTTATTGCGGCATCGAATTGTTGCCAATGTTAGCTGCTCTGAGTCCCCCCTCGGGGGTTGAGAAGGGTTGGGTAGAAATGTTGTAAATAAATAAATCTACACAAATGACCATCCACTGCCAGAAGGGATAGAGAGTTTCATCTATGCTGATGATTGTGTCATCACCGCCCAAGCAGGGTGCTTTGAAATGGTTGAACAGAAACTCTCTGAAGCTTTAGGTGCTCTTATCGCCTATTACAGGGAAAGCCAGCTGATTCTTAATCCATCTAAAACATAGACATGTGCTTTCCATCTTAAGAACAGACAAGCATCTCGAGCTCCGAGGATGACCTGGGAAGGAATCCCCACGGGAGCATTGCAGCGCACCCAAATACCTGGGAATGACCCTGGACTGTGCTCTGACCTACAAGAAGCACTGTTTGGATATCAAACATTTAAAATGAAAGGGAAATACAGAAAGATACTATATTGAAAAGGGAAATGCAGTAAGATACTATATTAAAATGTTGGAATACAATACGATTTCGTTAGATTAAAACATGGACTATGTAAACTCTTTGCATTCATATGTTGTAACTAGGCGTGTGCCTTCTGTATCTACTAGTGCTAGTAGGAGGAAACGAGGCTTGGAAGAGGAGGACGCTCAGCAGCAGCTGAAGCGCATTAGGGAAATGTTCCTAGAATCTAGTGATGAGGAAGACTTTCAGGGGTTTACTCATGAGGAGATGGAGATGGAGGATTACCGTGGTGTAAAGCGAGTAGCACGCAGTTCTGATAGCGATGAGGAATCCATTTCCAAGCGTCTTAAAGACATAGCAGATAGCTACGGGTCTGAAAGTGATGATGAAGAGCTGGACTGGACTAGGGTCCAGGAGGTTCAGGATGTGATTAATGCTCCAACCTCCAGTGGGGAGTTCCAAGGGTTCACAGACTCATGGGTTTCGGATACTGCTTCTCAGGATGCAGCCCGAAGTGCAGATTGGCAACAATGGAGGGAACGCAGTTCACCTGTGGAACTGGATGCACCTGGAAGCGAATCTAGTGATTCTGATGGGATTTAAGGAGTAGCCTTGGGTCCATTATGTTGCAGAGTTCAAAGCGTCGTGTACCCGTGTATCCTGCTGTTAACTCTTGCCTTGAGTCCTTGCATCCAGAATCGTGTTTCCGTGATCGTGCTGACTACTTTGCCTGGCTTGGAACCGTGAGTCTTGTCTCCTGCCCTGACCTCTGGACCGTCTTGACCATTCTACATTCCTGCCTGTCTCCAGCGTGGACTTCGGACCGCTCCTCATACTGCTCTTTGTGTTGTGATTTTTGAACTGACTGTATTCCGTTCTAACCACGAACTGTTTTGCCTGCTTTACTTCTGCTTTCCTTTTTGCTGCCCAGACTGCCTGGGTTACTGTTTGTTTACATCCCTGCAAGCCACAGGCTCTTTTGTTTACAGCTCTGCTGAGAAGAGCCCTTTGACTTGTTAATTGCCATTAAACCCCTTTTGTTAACCCTTAAGCTGCTGTTTTGCCTCGTTGCTCTGCCTGGGTCTTGACACATATCATTTGTGGTCATGCACAATAATTGCTTAATGGGAAATCAAACAGTATAAAAAAGATATTACATTCAAATTGTTGGGACACAATTAGATTATGTTTGATCAAAAGCATAAGATATGATTAATCCCATTTGGAAGCGGAAAAGATTTGAAAATTCAATGAGCAGTGGATACATTGTTGATATGGATATTATTCCTTGTGGTTGTGTATTCATGTTAAGCATGGAGTTGACAAGTAATCAAGCAGAACAAGAAGAATGTGCCACCATGTGAGAGAGGCCTTTGCTTGATGAGGAAGTCCACTGTGTTTGTAATGCTCTTTAATTATATATGTTTTGCTTTGTTTTTTATTTCTGTTCCTTGTGGGTAGAGATGCCGGGGGGGGGGGGGGGGGGGGGGTCACGGTGGGACATTTTGATTTGGAGTTTATGTGTGGTTTTCCTGTTGCCTTGAGTCACCTGTGGGCTGAGAAAGGCAATATACAAATGCAGTAAATAAATAAATAATTTGTTGTTGTCTTTTTAGTGTACAATTATTTTTAAAGGAAGTTTGGCCAGTGTAAGCAAACCTTCACACTGCAGGCTTATGAATTAATATAAATATTAAGCAGATAGATAGATAGATAGATAGATAGATAGATAGATAGATAGATAGATAAGATAGAAGCATGGATGAATGGATGGATAGATAGATGATGGATAGTTGGATAGAAGGATGGCTGGATGGATTGATGGATAATGGATAGATAGATAGATAGATAGATAGATAGATAGATAGATAGATAGATAGAAGGATGGATGGATGGATGGATGGATGGATGGATGAATGAGATGGATAGATATGGATGGATGCATAGATGGATGGATGGATGGATGGATGGAGGATGGATGGATGATGGATGGATGGATGGATGGATGGATGGATGGATGGATAGATGGATGGATAGATGGATGGATGGATGGATGGATGGATGGATGGATGGATGGATGGATGGATGGATGGATAGATGGATGGATGGATGGATGGATGGATGGATAGATGGATGGATAGATGGATGGATAGATGGGGATGGATAGATGGATGGATAGATGGATGGATGGATGGATAGATGGATGGATAGATGGATGGATAGATGGATGGATAGATGGATGGATAGATGGATGGATGGATGGATAGATGGATGGATAGGTGGATGGATGGATGGATGGATGGATGGATGGATAGATGGATGGATGGATAGATGGATGGATGGATGGATGGATGGATGGATGGATAGATGGATATGGATGGATAGATGGATGAGATGGATAGATGGATGAGATGGATAGGATGGATGGATGGATAGATGGATGGATGGATGGATGGGTGGATGGGATGGGTGGATGGGTGGATGGGTGGATGGGATGGGTGGATGGATGGGTGGATGGGTGGATGGGTGGATGGGTGGATGGGTGGATAGATGGAGGGTGGATGGGTGGATGGGTGGATGGTGGATGGGTGGGTGGGTGGATGTGGATGGAAGGGATGTGGATGGGTGGATGGGTGGATGGGTGGATGGGTGGATGGGTGGTGGGTGGATGGGTGGATGGGTGGGTGGGTGGTGGGTGGGTGGGGGGTGGGATGGGTGGATGGGTGGATGGGGTGGATGGGTGGATGGGTGGCTGG